AATAAATTTATCACACATCATCGATGCAGGTTAATTTTATTTGGTGGTTACCTTTGAATTTTCCATGATATACACACATTATCAAGTTTCCGGTGAAATGTTTATTCGATACAATTATTTCTACACGATTGATTTTTAAGTAATTATTTCTATGTGACTGATCTTTTAATTACAAGGAAATATTTAATTAAGAAAAGCAATGAAAATTATTTTGCAACATGTTGCTTTAAAATAATAATAGAGTACGTAGCCAGACAAATATATTGAATGGATTAATATTATAACAGTGTTTCCATTATAAAATTTGCTGTTACGCTTTCGCGTTGGAATCGATCGCGAAAGTACGAGCATACGCTCAAAATTACTGCTCGGCGAAACTCGTTACATTAGCAATGTCCGTGCATGATCGATTATCAACAGCTAATCCATTCTGGGATATATTTCGCGTTGTATGCAAATAGTTTGTTTTCATAGTATGGATGGATGCATATCTGTTTGTTAAAACGCTATTGATACTTTATTCTTTATCGAAAGCGCGTCTCTTGTCTGATGTTGTCAATTGAAAAATGCGTAAAAACGAATACTTTCATTTTGCGCAGAGTCACTGATTCAATTAGACGCTAAAGAAATGTAATTCCTTTAATGGAAATGTGACGAAAGGCGAGAAATTTCCTTTTGTCATGAAGAAATAGATTTATGATTTAATATCATAACAGTCGACATATGCCATTTATTCTTAAATAATAATGTGATTTTAGATTTTGTACGAGGCATTTACTTAGTCAAGATAAAATATTTGATTTTCGAATAAATTATATCGCACTAATATGATACTTATTACTTGTACTAGCTATATCCCAATTAAATTGCTGTTTAAGTCCTTTGCGTTAGTATATGAGTGTAATTTTGGGACGTTTTTTGCGAAGCTTAATTTTATATCTAACATTACTTAAAAGAATTTGCCGTCAATATCATTAAATTAGAATACGCTTTGTATTTTGTATGAGTTTGCAATTTGTTCATATCGATTTTCCGTTTTGTTCGAAATCAAATAAGTTTTCGAATCTGTTTCGCTACAATTATAGATTCAGTTTAATTGTGCGCTTAATAGCAATGGTTTGGAACCGTGCTAGATTGCAGATACTGCCACTCGGTTGCCATACAATAGATACGGCTAATTGTCGACACAGTATAGTTTCAACTGACAGAAGACGATAAAAACGTGAGTGTTTGTTAAAAAGTACTTTTTGTCACGCAAGAATCGCTCGTTATATATATATATATATATATATATAAGTTCCAATTGTTAACTCTAATACAAATGTGTAACATTTATGAGCCTGAATTTTGCAATTATTTATAACGAGGGAACTTTCCAGATGTTGTTTATTCTCGGACGAGAAATCGATCTCTGTTAATTGTGCGAGATAATTATCATTAACGCTACGCGTGACAAATTGTTGTACATTGTTATCGATTTACTCTATCAATTTCAGGAATCTATACAATTTAGCGATTAATAAATTTAATTTAATGAACATGATTAATAAATTTGAAATATATCTTAAAATCATAATTCACTAATATTTCATTACATATTTTTTATATTATTTCTGCTTTTTTATTGTATATTTAATTAAAAATATTGAGGAAAAATTATATATATTATTTTGCTTTATATTGAATTAATATAAAGTTAATAAAACCATTATCAAGAGAAAATTCTCTATTTTGGATTTTACTAGCTTGATTTATATTTAAAACGATATATGTATATAGATAATAAAATTTAATATTTCAATCTGCGAACATTGATGTATGCAATATTCTTTTCTCTTCTTCTCTCTTTTCTTTTCTGTCTCTTTTTCTTTCTCTTTTTCTCCCTTTCTCTATTTCTTCTTTCTTCTTTTTCTTCTCTCTGTTTTGTTATAGTTTAATCTATTTGAAAATTTTGTTGCAATTATGTTTTTATTTTTGTTATTCCCACACATTTTTATATGCAATTAGCAAATATCGCGATAACAGATCAGTTGAAAATACCAACTGTTTGCTTGCATAAATGAGTTTAAGAGGCAAACAAAGCGAAGGTGGAGCTCGAATTACAGACTATTACTGTCAGCTTTCTCGTGGCTATCGCCAGAAAAGCTTGTAGCTTTTGGGATCTCTTGACCATAGAATGTGTGTATGTGTATGTGTGTGTACAGCTACGTCGGGTGGCTCCTCCGAGTTTAAATTAGAAAACAATTTCATTAGCAACCCAGAAACGCGCGAGGTCCTTTTGTTCGTCAGCGTATAGCCTGACGGTTTTATTCAGCATGCAAGAATACGCTATGAGAGAGGAAGAATACGTTACGCGGAGGACAGTATGAAAAGTACGAAAAAGAAGAAAAGAAGAAAGAAAAATGGTGTGAGGATATGACTTTAATGTGAGATAGTTTGGTCGTCGGATTAAGAAAGTCGAGACTAATGATGCCATCAGCTGATTGCACACCGCATAAGTTAGCAATGCCGAATTGACTGCTGCTTTTTCATTTTTATTCCTCATTTTAATCCTGCTTTCTATAGGTAATTATTAACAAAGTCAGTAAAAAACTCGTTCAACTTTAATAGCATAATAATGTGTTAAACATTTTAAAATTTTATTTAGCTCACAAGATTAAAAAATTACTATAAGCAATAGATTATTTTTTATTATTATTATCATTTTACATAATATTAATATTATCTTATAATACTAATAATATTACAATTAATATCTGTATTAATATATCTATATTAATTTATCTTATTAAGAGCGATAAATTTAATGATATTTGAGTTTCTAATTATGGAAGCTATTCCTGAGAACTTTTCAAGTTTTAATCATTACTATATTCGGCAAACGATGCTAAAATGCTTGAGGAGTCAACGAACCACACTTCGATTTACGACACTCTACCGTGCTTTACTCGTACATAAAGATTTCAATGGCATTTTAGATTTTAATTGAAGCCGCGCCTTCGCGCTCATTGACCAAACGAAGAGGCGGACGATCTGGATGGTCCAGCTGGTTCCCTCGGATCTGCTTACAAAGCAATCTTTCCATCTGAGCTGAGATCTACGGTGAGTGCCACCTAATCTAATTTTCGTTACGACGATTCCGAGTCGAAATCGAACTTGGCAGAACCTTTGGCTTTCCCTGTCTCAGGGATCCTCGCCGAAACTGGGCAGTAACCAATCTTTATCTTGATTATGCAGCGCCAACATCGGTAACAGCCAATCTTCAATCTAGGATTGTTGCCAAGATTGTAAAAATCGTAAAGGTCAAAATCTATAGATCAGTGTTTTAGCAAACTTCAAATTCGATCAACATGAATTTGTAATGAAAATCAGCACGCGATCATAATATATCGCAGTTTTCTTTATTCGTTATTTTATATATCAAACATTATTGTTACTATTATTTATATACTTAATCTGTCTTATTAAACTTGATCATGTGTTAACACACCTATTTTGTCAGAATATTATAGATCATAATAATTATTGAAATTTATAGATTTTTCTTTTGACATTCTAATTTTATTGAACATACGTAGTATTTTTTGTTGGCATAGAATTGGTGGAAGATTAAGACTAGGCAGGCTATTATTTCTGCTGGTTTTCAATGGTTTTTCGAAATCATCTAATAAAACCGTCAGGAATGTTGGAACAAATGGGTCAACAGTTAGCGAAACGACCAGCGCAACGAACGCCAAGCGTGATATACGTGTCGCCGACGTCTGTAAAACTCAATAAATTGTTTTTGGCTTATGACGTTATAAATGGTGTTGTGTTTACGAGAAGCGAATTTATGTCGCAGGTAATAGGATTAATGGTAAAATTAGACAGTTTATCGATGAGCCGACGAGCGCAACGATGCACGCATTGTGACAACAAAACGTTCCTACGGTACACAGAGTGACGTATGCATATATGTATTTGTACGTCATAACGTTAATTAAAATGATTGCGCGAGCATCTGGTAGGGTACTTAACTTCAAATATCGATTGAGGTCACGTCGTTACGCGAGGTGTTGATCGAACGCGCGCATGTGTCAGACAATGGGATGCCACTTTGATTCGAAATAGATATTTGGGCCATCCATGTCAGCTTCAAGCTGACCGAGATTTTACATTTCCTGCATTAATAGCTATTATCTGAAAAAGTGAGAGACAACCTGTCACATTTAATATTCTCGTAATTCAATTAATTAACAAGTTCCCGATTAAATTATAGAAAATACAACATCTCGCTTTTATTGAGAAAAAGAAGATGAAATAAAATATAAGATAAATCATATTTTTTTAATTAATCAAAGTATATCTGAACATAAATATATATTACAAATCAGAAAAAAAAATAAATCGAAATGAAGAAGATAATGCGATCTGTTGCGGTCTAGAAATTTCCGTAATATTGTTCCTGCGGCAGACCGATGATCATGGAAAAAGTGGTAATGGAAAGTTCTTCCTGCTGTTGAATACAACTTTATGCACAGATATTGCGTTCACGCAGTGTATCGAAATAACGAGTAATCCAATAAAAAATTGTTGTCCGAAACATTCATATTTGTGTGTGTATATGCGTGTGTGCTAAAAGCTGATAATTCTGGATAATTATTTAGAGAATATCAACGAATCAATTTGTTATGTCATTTCGCAAGCAAAAAAAGGCTTGACGAATAATGTTTTAACACCTGATTGTATCGATATTACGATAGACGGTGCGACGAAATATTCTAGCAGAATAAATGTAATGTGCAGCGATGCGAAGAACTGTGAAACCGTGTACCTATCCACCACACCAGTGTCAACGGAGATTGGAACGAAATTTAGGAATACTTGCGGTCGTGCAGATGAAAGTGGACTTGGCGGAAACAACCAGCCATGCCATGGCGGAAGTAGATGGACTATCGATATTTAAGTGTCAACCGTTGTAACGTCAGCCATCAGTCCGATCGAAACCGGGTACGATCGAGATGATGCGAGGTACAATGCTATTTTTGCCATTCATAGCAATATGTTCGTTCACGTTGCACCCGACGTGTCACGCCCGAGAACTGGTTAGTGCGGAATCGCGTATCAGTCGGCGTGATGTGCGAGGAAAGAACAATGACCATCATGTAGGTCATTTAGAGCCGATCGTAGTGTCGTCAATCGCAGAGGTAGGTGACCTCGAAACGGCAGCAACTGAACATAAGGGTCATCATCATGAATCCGGTGGTGGTCATAAACATGAATCTCATCATCACGAGGACCACGGTGGAAAAGGTGAGAAGGGATACAAGAGTCACCATCATCACGATAAAGGCGATAGTGGCAAACACGATAAAGAACATCATTCTGGTCATCATGAGGAACATGGTGGCAAAAAGAAGGGTCATCATGACGAGCACGAAAAGTACGGCGAACATCATGAGGGCGAAAAAGGTCATAAAGGTGGCAAGTTCGGTGAGAAGAAGGGTCATAAGAAGGGCCATAAGACGAAGGGTTACCACAACAAGTTCCACAAAGATGAGTTTCACAAAGAGCACAAATTTTACGATGATTATCATAAAGGCGGACATCATGAGAAACACGGTGACTTTCATGGTCATCATGAGAAAAAGGAAGGTCACCACAAAAAGGGGGGTCATCATCATTCCGGCTTCCACGAAGATCATCACGGTAAAAAGGGTCATCACGACAAAGGTCATCACGACGAGGAACATAAAGGCCATCATGGCAAGCATGGCCATGAGGAGCATCATTCGCATCACGATGCACATGGCAAGAAGGGCGATCATCATTCCGGAAAGAAATACGGTTATAAGAAAGGGCATTAAAATTGTACATAGATTCAAGTATTATAGATCAAAAAGTAATTGCTCGTTTTACATTATTATGACTTATATCTATTTCAGACTATATCACGATTTGTGACGACATTTTATAATCGTACATTTTGTATTGTTCTTTATATAATATAAATATGCGCAAATGTACTAACGCGCGCAAAGAAATTGTTTTATTGCGAGGCTCTCTCTCATTTCACAATGGATTTTCTTTCTTCTTCGGTCTTAATGTGGCAAATAAGTTTCTCCCCAGCTCATATTTGTCCCAGCAGCTACATTACAGTCAAGACGGCAGCACGATATTACGCCTTATCGATTTCTTACGATTTATTGCCATCGTTTTTCTTGGCGGTCTTTTACCACTTCCCAACTTAAGTAATTTTGCCATTTCCTCTTGCCCTGTGCTTCCGTTTATTGATAATGATAACGATTGCATGAGAACACACACAAACGCGTAATTGTATCTATATATAATTGAGGACTTTACTTATTATAGCTCAAAAGTTAACATCACGTATTCAATTATCAATCCGACTAAAAAAATTACATTAATTAAATAAAATTCTTATTTTGTAAATAACATATGTTTTATGTCAATTCCACTTTTTTGAGTAAACTGCGATAATTCCATTGGGTCAAGCAAGTGAATTAATTAACTGTACAATAAAAATATTTTTCAGCATTTCTATTGTTTCTATTGGCAAAAGTAATACACGAGCAATTTTATCACAGCATGAATTTTAATGTCACATATAGCACAGATCATTAATGCGCCAATAATTGAGGTTAATCGATTGGCCAGCTGATTGAATTGATTACCGGATATTAATGTGCCACGGGAACGCGCGTTGCAAGTTGACACCGTTAAATTTGTAGATAAATACCACATATATACGTTGCAATGTTATCTCTTGCAATAGTGTGCAATGTATAATAATATTACGTCATCAATTACAGTATATCAAAATGTAAATATATTTTTGTAATATGATATAATTAATATTATTTGAGAAATAAAGACAAGCTATAATATGCAATTTATAGTAATATTTAAAGATAATTTATTCCACATTGTGCTTTTTTTATATCATTAATTTTTTCAGATTGATACATGCCATTTTAAAGTTAATTATTTTCTTAAAGAACAAATGCTGACGTTTTTATACAAGTAAGTTTTTAGGATTTATCTAATTTAATTTAATTTTTATCTAATTAATTTTTTTCTTTCTTTCTCTTTCAATCCTTCATAATTTTTATTTTTATATTGATACATTATGACAATCTAATTAATCAATACAAGCCATCATACATACATATCGCTTAAATCATTTCTTGCAATGTGCATCCATAACTAGTATTCATTATTTATCGATTAATCAACATAGACTTTAGATATTGTGCAAATATATCTTTATGCACACACATATAATTTAAAAACACTTAATTATGTTTATACAAATAAATAATAAAAGTATTGAATTGTCATTAGGATTCTTATTAAATAAAGATGAAAAAAGTAAAACAAAACTTTAAAAATTAACGAATGTAGATAAATAAAGTTTTTAAATCTGTTTTTGTTTGATGTTTCACGTAAAAGGATTAAGAACACTCACTTATAAATGTGTTGTTGATGGCGTAAAGCTTTGATTATGAACAAACTTGATTATGTCTTGGTTTTTACTACGATACAATAAATACGCCAACAAGATAAGCTTAATCCAAATATTTAATCTAGAAGCTTATGTTGTCAAAGGATTTCTTGCGCGGTCGCATGATGCAATTTTCATTATATGACTGTAGCGCGCACGTCATTTATTATTCGAGAGGTTGCTTTGGCTTCGTGAAAATTTTATTAAAGGTACCTCGAATTCGGGGCAAAACTCATTTAGTTAGTTTTCAACAACGATATATTAAATAACTTTTGTATTTTTTATATTTTTTATATTTTTCCTAAAGAAGAAATAGCTTGTCTTTATTATGCTGTACTTGATATATAATTAGTTCAAAAGAATGCACCGTAAGTGACTCGAATATATATTGTTTCGCAAAAAGCGAAAGACAGCGTGAAAAATTCTTTTATTTCGCCTCTAGTCTGGAAATTCACGAAAGTGCAATGCAAATGTCACGTGTTTCTCTACCTCTCATTAATTTGGTCGAATAGCGTGATTATTCTGCTTTCATGAAAGCACGCAGAATCACAGAACAACGGCGGTCGTGCGTACTTCTTACGCGCGTTTCGTGTTTCTCCTTTTTTATCGTGCCACTTCAATTACATTAATTAAACTACCCACACATGCATTATGAAACAATGGTGGGCCCTTTCGTCGGCCGCCGGAATTGTCACATGGCGGAGCATTTCAAGTAGGTTCGTTGCTGCGCGCATGCAATCTCCGGCAGAGAATAGCCTTGCACGATTCTGAACACTCGCTGCATCGTACGTGGCAGTAAAGAAGTGCATAAAGGCCCGTTAATCCGCGTCCGTGATGCCGGAATTCAATTCGGATGGACGCCATGGAAATGACGAGCTCATTCGCTACAGCGTGACATCGTTAATCAAATTCACGGTAGGGTGAATACGATAGTAGATCCTGTGAACTCTCGTTCTTTATCGTTGTTTTTATAATATATCGAGCGTATACATATATAAGACGATGAACAGCAATCACAGTTCAGTGTCTTTTAAAACAAATTGAGAATATATGAATTGATTAAGTGCAATAATCATATGTACATATATACATATAATCATATATACATATAATTATTGCACTTAATCAACTTACATTTATAAGATAATGAATGTAATATAGCTATACTGTATTCTCGGAAGAATACATTGATCGATAAAATACTACGAGAATACGCCTTATTTACCACTACTCGATAATACATTATACCCAACGGCAAATTTAATGCTGCTTCTTAATATTGGAATTTGATAAATATCTGAAATATAGGAATTTTTATTAACAGTAAAGATTTCAGGCATGTTGATAATTTATGATACTCATAATTTGCATCGCTTAATATATAATATCTCTTTAACCTGTGAAAAAATGTGGATCTTTGACAATTTTTTAATTACTGATTATGTATATGTGCAAATATCATCAATATAAGTTATATCGCATATATTATAATTAATAAAATATCAAATGTTTCTGCTGCATTAATAATCTTTGCAGAGAAAGTTTTCATTTTACATTAAAATAATAAGCAGATTATAAGTAACTTTTTGAATTTTATATAATGTAAATGTTTACTCAGATATATTAGATTCTAACATATCTATCGATTTTATGATGCAATTTGCTAATTTAAAATAACAGACAAATTATGCTATATTGGTTGAATTTTCTTTATCAATTTCTGATTGAATTGATTTATAATAAAAAAGTTATATTGTGTCAATATTGTGTCAATATTATTTTTTAATATATAAATTGAAATCAAATATAAAAGATTAAATTAAAAAAAAATAATCACGCTATTCGACCAAATATAAAAAGATTAAAAAATAAATACTTTTATTACAGTAGAGAACTGAAAAGGTTTTCATTTCTATAATTTCTGATTCAGAGATTCATACATTATTAATTTTTCTTCGCCAGAAGCATACAGTTTTATATATCGGATTTTATATACTTCTACGATTTTTAAACAGTTATATAGGTTTTAAGTTAACAGAGCTGAGAAAAAATTTAGCGCTTTAATATTCAATTCTCTTTTAAGATATTCAATTTAATATTCAATAATTTTTATAAGATATTCTTTTCTTATTATTATTATATTCTCTTTTAAGATATTCAATTTAATATTCAATAATTTTTATAAGATATTCTTTTCTTATTATTATTAAATACTTAATTTTTTTAAAAATATGTATGCTTATTATTATTATATACTTAAATCTTTTTTAAAAATATGTATGCAGCTAAGTTGAGAAAAATATGTATGTAGCTAAGTTGAGAATTTAAAAAATATGTTCAAAAAATATGTATGTAGCTAAGTTGAGAATTGTTAAACTAACAAAATATTTTTCAATAAAAGTAAAGAGTATAAAATATAATATAATTTTTGATTGATATGTTTAGTCGCATTTTTATCAAACATAAAAGCTCAGCAATTTTAACTCTCACTAATATGAATAGTAAATAATATTATTAAATAATTCATAGACTTAGAAATATTAAAATAAAAATATATATTGAGCTTTAATAATAAATAAATAAATAAATAAATAAATAAATAAATAAATAAATATATGTGTGTGTGTGTGTGTGTGTGTGTGTGTGTGTGTGTGTGTGTGTGTGTGTGTGTGTAAAATAAATATATATAATAAATGTACATAAATAAAATGTAAATATATATAATAAATAAACAATTTTGACACAAAACTATGTAAACTATTAAAATAAATGAAAAATACGTTTCAAATTTATTATCGTTCTATGCAAAAGCTTCATCATATATGACTACAATATATTTTAATAAAAAAATGTTATATGTTTTTATATTAAAATTAAATGTCACATAAAACTATTTTGTACTTTGGGCACATATATGGGAATTATTAGAGAAAATAATACGATCAATCATGTTGTTGTAGACACTTTAATTTCTTATTAACGAGATAAATTTATATCATTCAGTATTTTAAATATAATTAACGAAAAAACAAGCAACAAATGATATAAAAGTTTATTCTGTTCGCATTAAATTGGCAAGTTTTGCACAATTAATGATGATGATGACCGTGATGACCGCTCGAAAAACCATGCTTTTTACCGCCATGATGCTCGCTTTTCTTTCCGTAATCGTCGTGATGATGATGGTGTTCTTCGTGACCATGTTTACCATGATGACCATGATGATCCTCATCGAAATGCCCTTTATCATGGTGACCTTTCTTACCGTGATGATCTTCATGATGGCCAGAATGATGATGTCCACCCTTCTTATGATGGCCTTCCTTTCCATGGTGATGCTCATGATGATCGCCATGCTTCTCATGGTGACCACCTTTGTGATAATCATCGTAGAATTTGTGTTCTTTGTGGAATTCATCTTTGTGTGCTTTATGATGATAACCATGAGTTTTCTCGCCCTTCTTATGGCCTTTTCCATGGCCAAATTTAGACTCTTTATGGCCATGTTCGTGCTCGTGATGACTGCCATGTTCATCATGTTCGTCGTGATGACCTTTCTTGTGCCCGCCATGCTCATGGTGATGACCTTCATGATGTTCTTTGCCATGGTGACCATGCTCTCCTTCTTCATGATGATGATGACCTTTATGACCCTTATGGCCTTTTTCACCATGTTCTCCATGGTGATGGGAATGATGTTCGTGGCCTCCGCCATGCTCGTGGTGATGACCATGATGATGATGGTGACTACCGGCTACCTCTAAATCTCTCATACTTCGGACATCTCGCGCCGAAGATACGGCAATAACCGTACATATCACGGTCAGGAGCAAGCATGGGCCTATATATTTAGCCATGTTGGTTCTTTTGTAGGACCAACGAGTGCAATTGACTGATCAACAATGTTTAAAGCAAAGCTTATATACCTGTGGTTCCACCAACGTTTTGTACGTAATCGCTTTCGTTTCTTAGCTCTTGTTTAGTCTCTCTCACAATACTGGGATCGTATTTCGTAAAACATTTGTTCTATACTGCATAAATTTACTACATAGAGAATTGCTGTCAATCTTGCATTACTTAAGAGAGTAAAACGATATTACTGTTCATGCTTTTACTGTTGGTATAAGGCAGAAAAGAAAAAAAGAGAATGTAATATATGTAAAGAATCTATAAAATATGTGTAATTATATGCATATAATATTATATATAGCATATATTAGAATATATTAGAACTTTTTAAAAAATTCCACATTAAATAATATCAAATTGTAATGTACATAAGATATACATATTTAAAAGATAAAATATTACTACATTTATAATAGAATATTATTTTAATTTTAAAATAAATGTTTTGAGAGTAAATATCTTTAAATAAAATAGTGGTACATAATCCAGAATTTATTAGCAAGTAAATTTAGCGGTTAACGATAAACAAAATGAGAGGCACAATATAGAGATGATTTATTTTTATTGAATTTATCCATTTTGTAACTTTTGGAGCAGTTTTTTTTATAATATTATTCTCTAACACTCAATGATGATTTAGTTATAGTATATTCTTGTATTTGTCCGGAAAATACATTAATTGTATAAATTTCCGTCAGTTATAGAAATAAATTAAAGCTGTTGAAAATCAATGCGGTTTGGTGAGACAATAAAAACACATTATTTAGGCTACATAGACATAGTTTAGTAAGCAGGACAACGATTTCAATTATATTACATAACGATCTGAGCGATAGTCGGGGGTTCACTGAAATCCGCATTACAATTTAAACAGGTTAAGGAAACGTTGCTTTCGCAACGACGTAATGAGCCACGAAAGAGCCTACCCTCATATTGATTATCCTGCGATCAATATATAATCCGAGCGAGGCAAGCGATTTAATCATACCTACCGACGAACAGCGACGAAGTTAAACACCTCTCGTTGATATTAGATTAAACGAGGATAAATACGGCACGATGAGTAGATTGGTGGCGATTTGCCTGCTGGCAACGTGCATCGCCTCTCATTGCGTGACCACCGCACGTGAGATCCCGAGGACTCATTACGACGACCTGCAGGTAGCCGCTTCTCACCATCATGAGAGCGGGCATGGAGAAGAGCATCATTCCGATCATCATCACAAACATGGCGGAAAAGGCGACAAAGGTTATAAGTCGGAACATCATCACGAGAAAGGAGAAAAGGGACACCATGACAAAGAAGGACATTCTGGACATTATCACAAAGACGAGGGCCATAAGAAGCATCATCATCATGATGACGGTTATTATGGCGAGCATCACAAGGGCGAGAAAGGTGAGAAGGGTCATAAATTCCATGAGAAAGGACATTATGGCAAGGGCCACAGTACGAAGGGACATCATGAGGTACACAAACTCGATGAATTTAAGAAAGATAAGAAATTCTTTGACGAACATCATGATCATGGTCATCATGAAGATCACGGTGGCCATCATCATGAACACGGACATAAGAAGGGCGGTCACTTTAAGAAGGGACACCATGACCATCATCATCATGAAGACCATTATGGCAAGAAAGGACATCATGAAAAAGGACATCATCATCATGATCATAAAGGTCATAAAGGCCATGGCGATCACGAGGAGCATCATCATCATCATTCCCATCATGGCAAGAAGGGCGGCCATGAAGATCACAAGCACTGGGGATTCAAAAAGGGACATTGATATAAATATTAAAACCATTTCTCTCCTACTGCTTGTTGAGTTGCGTTTGTCACGCTGCATTAATTGTTGTACCTTTCGACGACCAAAATAAATTTTTCCAACAGATTTATTACACTTTATTTATGCAATCTCTCATATTCATATATATCGTAGCGTTATGTCAATTAACTGCAACATATCACGTGCATTTATTAAATCATCATTTTTCTTACGCTGCCATATATTTTCACAAATACGCAATAGCTTGCATTAATCAGACTCTTACAACACTATAAATGTATATTGGACGTAAAATGAAATTTGAATTATTTGCACACCGCGACCGTAACGCGTGTCGCGAAATTGGTAACTGTCGTAATAATTTAGTGAAGTTTTATGTTTTGTGCTACATCAGTCACGCTTTTGCGGTGTAGCAGCTGTCACAAGAAAATATGGCCTCTCGTTACATACCATTTCCATAAAACCGTAATATCGGGCAGTTATCGTATTCGGTGATGTAATTGATGCAGTTTCGTATTTGTTTTATCAAGCGTTCCTTGCAAATTATCTATCTTTAATATGAATTTAATATCATCTAATTTAAATCAAATCAATATTACATATTCATAATTTCAATATTATGTATTTATAATTTTATCATGTAAAAAATGTTTTACAAATTAATACTATAAATTTTATTTTAATAATTAAATACATTTATCTCAAAATTTATATTTGAATTATATATTTATTATATAATTGTTTATTTTCAATTATAAGATATAATTTTGTTATAATTATATTATTCAATCGATATACTAATAATATTTACTTAATACGATATAGATTGGAAACATGAAAATATGGAAATATGAAAATATTCAATTATATATTTTTTTTCATCTTATTATATCTTATAAGTTATAATTTTATAATATATATAAAACAGTATTAGATATAAATTATATTAGTATTAAATATCTTGTGATAATAATTAACTAGCTTTCTCATATTTATGTTTTTGGATTAAACGCGTACCTGCATCGGAGTCAGAATTCTCATAATTATTATGGAAAGAATTTTCACCTTTTTCCTTATTATAACCCTGATCGCGATTCTGTATATGTTCTTTATCGTGAAATGCTTTCTTTCCATTATTTCGATAATCAAACTCGGACTCATGATGTCCGCCTTTCTTGAAATTACCCTCGGCAGCTTTATGATGTTCGTCAGAAACAATGTGCTTGTCGAAGTAACCTTTCTTGTGGTTTTCATCATAGAAATCGGTATGTTTTTTATATTCATCCTTGTGGTAAACTTTATGAAAGCCGCTGGTTTTTTGACCCTTTTTGTGGTACGACGTTTGCCCATAGCTGCTACCCTTCTCACCATTCTCAGTCTCATCGTAACGTCCATAATTTCCACCCACGTCGCTGTGCCCTTTTTTGTTCTCACTTTGAATATCATAATGTTCTGAAAGACCCAGCAAAAAGTATATATCTCATTCAGCAATATATATATATATATATATATATATATATATATATATGCATATTTTATTTCATGCAGAAATATAAATATCTAAATCTATTAAAGAATTCAATAAACGTCTAAAAATAAACTAAAAATTTACCTTCTTGCTTGCTTTTATCATGCTGCTCGCGTTCACCCATATCAAATTCCATTCGTTTGTTATATCCTTTGTCACCCTTTTCTCCATGAGCAAAATTCTGCGCGGAAGAATACTTTTCTCCGAGTTCGAACGGAACGTCGATATGTGACCGAGGATTGTTTGGACCGTGAAAAGGATGGGTTGCTATAAAATCAACTGCTTTCTCATGATTCTTCATCGTGTGATCTCCATCATCTTCTTTATCATCATCATTATTCTGACTATCGTTATCATAATCATCTTTTTCATTCTCCTCATTCTTTTTATTATCGCTTTTAACGATATTTGCATCCGTTTCGTCTGGTTTAAATACACCTGGGGTGTAATACGGTGCGCGAGCAGCCAGCTTAGGTGGTTCAAGCGGTTGCGCGTATTTCGTTAATTGGCCCGTACCATAATTAATGAATCCGTCGCGTGGCTGACGTAACGCGTATGGCACAATTTCGCGCTTTGCAGTCGCATATGCGAGTAGAACGGGTTCGTGCGACGACGCAGTTTCAGGAACGGTGAGCGCAACAGGTGCAGAACTACTGGCGACGTAATGCACCGGCGTCGGTGCACGATAGTAACGTCCGCTTCCGTGATTGGTGTATCGCACGTACGAGACCGGAAGGCCCGTTCCCTGATTGTACGCATATCCTCCGGCTGAGGTCTCGAGATCGGCTATTCTCATCTTAGAGACCGTCATGTGCGCTGTCCCCGCGGGTGATGCACTATTGTCGCACACGCTGGCGAGCAGCATTACCAAACTTGCGATCATGGCAACCTCGTTCTCGTAAACAATGCGCCGGATAATAATCGCTATTATCGTCTCGTGCTTGAGTTGCCACTGTTGTATCCGTTCGTCCACGTTATCGTCTTATATACACACGTTAGAAGGACGTTTTCCTCGCATCGTGACAAAGTTACACACTATTTAGTGAGCGTTTTAAGGTCATGTCGATGCTTCAAGTATGTAGCATGCTATTAATGTTGTATTTCTTTCGCTGATATTAGCCAAGTGCCCTCGATTTGCGTAATGATTCGGGAAAGATTAATCGAAATTACAAAGAACATCCAGGTGACAGTTCAAAGGATTTAGTCAAAGAAAATAAAATTCAAATGCAAAATCATTTTATAGAAAAAGTGATTAATTTTTTATAGGTTTCGACGAATACTTGGCATACATTTCTTAAGTTTCTGCTCTCTAAAATTCCAATCTAATCCCGTGAATTTGCTTTGCATCGCTGATTAGCTAGTACTGTAAACTGTCACTGTGTGATCTTGAATTGGTTATACGCTACGGTAGATACGCTGAGGCCATGTGAAATCGACAGTAATCTCAGGTTCGACCGAGCGATTACCGCACAATATAAAAGAGCTGGTATTATTGCGCGGTCATTGCAGTGTGTGCCAGCGCGTTTGCATGATTCGCATTACGTCAAAAATTTCTCTGTCCAATATCATATCTTTTTATCCATATATATATATATATATAATTTGAATTTAAATCGTATAAAATTGGACGAGCAAATTCACAAAACAAATGAAAATTTGTGAAGAATGGTTCAGAGCAGGTTGGTATGCTGCCTACATTCTGCTCTATGTCTGTGCGCATCCAGTGAGAGATCAATCGAACGAGATGTACATTAGCAGCTCGAGATTGCTTAATCCTGAATCAGACGAATACGGCTTCGAGAAGGAAGTATCTGCGACTAAATTATTCGAGATTCACGAAGATAGTAGAGAGAAGTTTGAGGAAAATAACCCGTCAAGAGCGACACGAGCAAAGGGCAAACCGGTTCTACTACCTTTGATGATAGAACCCGAGGCAGAGATGTTACCGCGGGGTTATAAGGGTGTGAAGCCGCCTGGAGTCACCCACATGGAGTTTACACACGTGAAACCGCAAACCGATACGTCAGTTCGCGAAAGCGCAACATTGCGAACTTTCGTGATAAACGATGACGAAAATTCCAGTAAATTCGGTGGATTTGGTCGAGATGAAGATGCGCATTATGCCGCGTCGAAGTACGAGGAGCAGGTTGCAAGAAACGATCGTGGCAGCGAGAGAATCGTCGTTCTCGAGGTAGATTTAAAGGATGACTTGAAGCAGAACAGTAAGAAAAGCGAGGAGGATACCGAAGCTTTCGGTGCGGAAAAGAGCCATTTTGAAAATGAGAATCGCCCGAAGAGTCGAAAAGAAAAAGATGTAAAAAAAAAGCAAAATATTTACAAGGCGGAAAATGATCGCCAAGAGACTCGTAATGCCGCCGGACATCGCAATGTTTATCACAAGAATGGATTCGAGAAAGACCTCGATTTCTATAATAATGGACGTCAGAGAGGAGACTTTGACAAGCATGATCGATACGGTGAGAAACACGCTATCGCCGAAGACACGTACGCGAAAGACAAAAGTAACAGTTCCAGATTAGTCGAGATAGAAGCCAAAGAAGGGGGTAAGTTCGAAAAGATGCGAGCCGACTGAGAAGCCCAAGGTCATCTTACGATGGATTCTTCGGGAACTTTGACGGATTCAAAGAGAAGTCTGGTAAAGACTGGCTTAGCGAAGGGTTGAAAGTTCGCTTTCAGCAATGACAGCTCGACAAGTGTAACATTTGTGTGAGATTGTACGATGATTATTGATTTAAAGAGAAATTTAAAAATGTTTAAACGCATATGTTCAAAATGTACACTTAATACATTTATTCATGTATTTAAATATGCATATTTTCATTGTATTTCACGCCATACATTTTATATATGTGCATTGTGCTTTTATAAAATATAAAATTAAATAAAAGCGTGCGAATTTTGTTTTTATACATATTTCCTTTATATGATGTTGATTTTTTACAAATTTACATTAAATCAATTTGACCAAAAAATATAATTTGTTTTCTCCTTTAATATTATTTAAACTTATTTAAACTTTGCAATTTTCTTTCCTTTTGCGCAGTTGATAATGTCTTTGTTGCATTTTTTCCTCCAGCTTGAATATTTTTCACTCACAATCAGCGAATCATTATTTCGAATAAATTAAATTTCCTGTTTGTCTCTCAATTCAATTCATCACGCGGCAATCTTACTTTTATTTACGCAACCGACCGATAATCGAATATAGCCCGAGGCAGTCGCATCGGGATGGCGGGCAGTTAATGAATATTAATAATGCTCGTATTGTTCCACCGATAAATTGCAATCTTTCGCGTATGGTCCGACCACGAAATGAGAATCAAGGCACATAATTGATGCATATACGTTGTATCTCCCCGCGTTCTCATTACGGTTTCGCTGGCGGAGTTCGCGGGGCCATTCCACTTCGGTAACGTATACCTATCGGTCTCTACTCCTTCCATTCCTGCCGTAGTTCTGACTACGATATACACATAAAGCCCGCATCCCCTTCGTGGCTCAGTGAGCTCGGGTTCCCCGCATTCATCAACAATAAGCCGCGGCACCTACCGCTCTCGCATACGTATCTGCGCCACGTATGTATATGTACGTACGTATATTCGCGCGTATAACTACACCCTCGCATATACGCAACGTCGGCGCGTGTACGTGCACAACACACTCGACGGTTGTATTATATGTATCTGCCCGTTTATGTATACGGTCTCTATATGAAGGCGCATGTATATCGGAAGCGGTGGAACGCGGCGCGAATACATAAATCAGGTGCCGCTCTGCAAGCTGCCACCCATATCACTTCGTACAACGGCCATGAATGAATAGAGCCATGTTTGAGTTATCGTCCGACCTGGTCTTCCAGAAGCTGCGAGACGACGGCGTTAAGTTTTACCGCTCGGAAGTGAAACGTATTTTTTTTTAGCTATCTCGAATTCTCCCGCGCAGCTCGGCATGAAACTTAGAAATAAACAATAAAGTTTAATTTAATTACTCAAGTCTTTTATTTCGATATTTTGCCGGTAGTTAAACATTCTCTCGTGAAAGCTTGACGCCCGAGTAACGAAAGCTCCATAATTTATGTCAAAGAAGTAAATCTGACGGTTTGCCTCGATGGCGACGTTTTACTACGAAAAGAAATGCAATTTATCTTCTGATAATCTCCAATCCTTCGCGAAAGCGGACGTTCACTTCGTATCTTGCTTTCCTTCCTTTTTATTTGACTGTCACACGTCCGATGCGCTCGTGTGATTTTCCAAGAACGGCTGATTTCGGGGATCTGATCGTCTTTCCGCGGTAGTTTATTGTCATCGATTTATCTTCGCTGAGAAAAATTCAACCAATAAAAATAGGAAAATTACTGGCAATCATATTATTAGAGGCGTTTGTTTTGCAATTCTTGAATGATATGAAATATGCGGTGATCATAGAAAGATGACAGAAGTATGAGAAATATAATATAAAACATAAAAAGTATAAATAATATTTTTAATTTATTTTTACATAAATGGTGTGAAAATTCGAAAGAAATATCATATACCGTATTTATTATTAAACTGGAAAAGACGAAGTAAGTTTAAGTTTTCGTTTTTACGCTATCGTATCTTCCTTAATATATATGTTCATAAATCTAAAATATAAGTAATATCAAATCAATTATGTCAACAAATGTAAAAATCTTTGTCGCAAAATGTATCTATAGAAATGAGATATATTTTATCAGACAATTATGTAAGAGTACATACATATTTTTATTTAGGAAGTCACGAAAAATATGACATCGATCTTATCAAAATTGACACGTCCTGTCATAAAATGGATGGAATATGGATCGTATCTTGACATACTTAGAAATCAAGAACGTTATTTGCGCCTCGTGACAGGAAATCATGCAGCAAAATATACCGTAAGTTTGACTAGATTTAAATTTACACTTTATATAATAATATTACAGACAATATCTGATGTGGAATTTGTCAAAAGTAACATTTAACCTGTAAATCTCTAAAATGTAAATTTAGACCTCATTTGTTATGGGTTGCTCATTAAAAAATCTCATTAAAAAAAATAAATTCTTAATAGTTAAATAAATAAATTCTTAATAGTTAAATAAATAAATTCTTAATAGTTAAATAAATTCTTACTAGTTTGTTTAATTTTATATTTATTGGTGTAAAAATTCGTATCACGTAAATCGTAGCATCATCAGCCAGTTTACAAGACACGATTGGCTTTGCCAGAAGATTACGACAAAGTAATGACTTTTATGAGTGACGCGTTTTTCAAAGACGACCCAATCATGATGAACATAGGTTTGGAGGAGCAAGAACCCGCGCCATTGTTGCTAAAGCTCATGTATGACGATCTTCGTGATGGTATGACTATAATCGCCGAGGGACAGGGCAATTGTATCGTGGGCGTCGCGGTGAACGCCGGCTCCTGTCCTTGGGATCCTGACAAGTTCGTCGAGTTCGCTAGGTGTTGTGAATGCGGGTCGACTCGCGACGTGATCGAGTTCGAGGCTTACGTGACCCGCAAACCAAATCTCTGGAAGCGTTACTGCGTTCTCAAGATCTTCGAGTGCAGCTATCTCGCGGTCGGACCGGACTTCCGTAACCGGGGTATTGCCAGAAAGCTCGTGCTAGATAGCTGGTATCTCGCGCGCGATTGCGGCTATCGATTGTTTCGTGTTGACTGCAGCAATAGGTGAGTCTGACTAGCTTGACCGTGGAATTCTGGTTAGAGTTATAGACACGTACGGAATGTCAGTCGTTTCGGCGCGACTCGCTCGTCTCGAGCGGATCTTGAATAATTTTTGCGACGAGCTCGCATCAACGCGAGAGATCTATCCATCATGTATCACATCGTATGCTCAATGAAACTGTTACCTTGTAATTCAAGTTCGCCCCATAAGGCCAAAGCGGCTGATATATGGCTTCCCGTCATATTAAAAGAATAATGATCGAGTTTATTAAGACTGGTGTAATATTTGATAACTTGATGCGTTTTTGATTATATGAACACGTTATTCGATACTGAAATATTATTATCGAGTATCGTTTTCCTGCGATTATATATTAAGCGAATCGAGCCGCAAGATTTAAAGTTAAATTTGAGAGATTTACATAGATATTAATCCGAAACCTGATATCCATTGCTTAATATAAATATATCCATTTCAGATATATCGCGCGAATCGCGGAAGGTTTTGGATGGAAGCGAATATGTACAATTCCATTTAATCAATATCTTAAAGACGGCAAACTCGTTTTTAAGTATATTAAGGAGCCACATACCGAAATGCTGGTTTATATTGATCAAGTCACATTTTGTAAAGATTATTGTCCACCTTATAATAGCTGTAAAACGACATCAGCACCAAAAATCCTTAAAGAGAAAATTTAATATCTCTTAGGTTGCTTTTCCAAGGAAACTTTAACATATTTTATTAAAGTATGTTTCTCGTAGTTCTCTATTTACATCATAAATCAAATTTTATTTGTTACAACATATTTATATTTGTAAAAATAATTGGGAAAAAATTTATAATATCTAAAATGTAATGTACTGTTTAGTTTGTATAATTTCAGATTGTTAATATAGAAATGTTTATAATTTAATAATTTATTATTATATACATTAACAATATATATATAAAATACTTGTAATACTGTGTATATTATTTATGGTACTTATATCGTTATCTATTAAAAATAATGCAAAGCATAAATTATTGATAACAGATAGATGATGAAGCACAATAGTCAGAGTGTTGGTGCTCTCCTGTAGTCTAAAACAAAGTTTTTGTTCACGTTGATGACATACGTCGATTTCACAAGTACTAATCCCGACAGTCGAGCTTATTGGAATAGTCTATCACAGCTGAGAACAGTGATTGATGAGTTCAACGGCAGCTTATCTCGCGAGGAAACTCCTTTGAGTACGATTGAATAATACATAGCGACGCGCAAATGAAATTCCCGATATTTGACTTCTAAGCTCTACCTCTCGAACGAAAGCCCGCCGGCTAAACTTCTGCTGCCTGCGAAATTACGATTGCTCGGAGTTGCGAATGTACGGAATTCGGTTTCTAAATTTAAGCGGAAAGAGACGGATTTTCCTTTATACGTCTACCGAGACTTCCGTAAAAGAGGCCTCCATAGAATCGTCTGCCAAACAAAGCCAGACAATCGTCGATCAACTACCGTCATAAAACACTAATGATCTGTAGGGCGAATTCTATTGTATGTATGCAAAATGTTTGAGAATAGTAACTGAATTGTCGGTCTGAAATGATTTATCGCCAGCCTAAGTCAACTCATTTGTAAAACAATTTGAAACAGACGTCCATTATGACCAATCATTGTTAAATACATGCGTGGTAAGTAGAAATTAGTAAAAATTACTTTCATATTTCAAATAATGATAAAATATAGGTAATATAAAATAGGTAAAATATAAAAGATTAGCTATCGTAATTTCATATAAATAACGATAAACTATAATTTTTTTATCATCTATAATGAAAAACTATTATTAAGTTATGAGCATATATTTATGAATTTAAAAAAATAATTTTATCTAAAGAATTTAGTGTTATTATTATTATCCATCTTTTATAATATCTTATAATTATGTCTGATTCTATTGCTGCAATTTATATTATCTAATTTTTAATATTAATATTTGGCACAAGTTAAGTTATAAAATTTTATGAAAAGTTAATTGCATTGTTAATAGAGAATAGATATTATCAATAGTTTTCACAAAATGTTAAAATTATTTGTAAAAGTATATTATTCTCATTATGTGTTACTATTTTAAATTACGAGAATTTTAATTTATAACAAAACATTTAAAACACATTTTATATTTAAAATATAGCCATATTTTCAAATATATTTACAATCTGTATCCTGAAATAAATTAGTTATGCAAATGATAATATGAAATATTTATAGAACTTTACTAAGTTGTTAGTACTACTGAGAAACTCGTAAAAATATTATGTGCATTATTCTTATATGAACAAATTCGATTATAAATATAATTTATAAAATTTTGTATTAAATCTTTATTATTATTGTTTTTGTTATTCTAGTTTGTATAAAATTTTTGTTATTCTGTCGTCACGCAAAATCTATTATTATTTGCTGTCATATTATTATATCATTACATCTCAAAATCTATTATTATTTGCTATCATATCATTATATCATTACATCTCTCTTCTGGATTTATATATATTATATATAAATATATATTACTTCTATAAGATTCATATATAAATGTAAATTTAATTCTCCTTTAAATCGAATTGCATTAAATACATTGCTAGGAAGGAAACCCTGGAAATTTTTTTTTGCTATTTTTAAATCTTGTGGTTTTATGCTATTCTCTAAACCTGTTTCTTACGCAATCTTCTTATATAAGAATTTAAAATTAGAAAGTCTGCTATAGAGACATTCACATGTAAAACTTACATTTTAAATTCTTTTTATCTGTGAAATAATCTTTTTCATTAATATAAATAAAATAATTTTTATTTAAATAAATTTGAAAGTTATATACGTACAAGGAGTAGACAAAATAATGTGAATACCTAAAAAATACACTATATTTGTTTATTAATAAGGTGGTGGGCTATCATTTGCCTTCAATGCAGCTCAATCTTTTATCAAAATATCTGCAAATTGCTTTAGAGATGTTGGAGGAGGAAATCCGTTTCTCACTCTCTTTTCCAAAACTACTCATAGTGATTCAATGATATTTAAATCGGATAATTTTGCTGGTCAGAGAAAATGTAGAAATTTATTTTGATGCTGTCCAAATCAAGAATGAATTTTTCTAGCTGTGTATATGGATGCGTTACCATCTTGAAAAATGGCACTATTTGATAGAAGAATGAGACAATATTCCACTGGAGACTGTTCAAAAATTGTGTTAAAAATGATTCTATTCTAAGGAGAATTGAAGCTGTATTAGACAAATGGTGGGCTAATAAATATTTACTTTTAGGTGTTCACATTATTTTGTCTATCCACTAACATATGCATATGGCACGTTTGCAATAATTTACATTCATTGTTGTATTAACACGCATCTTCATCAGAAACTAATAGATAGAGCGTATTCAAAGCGAATTATAATTGGAGTAGAACTATTCGCATTTCTCAAAAACGATCTTGAGCCGATTTCGGAGCTGTAATGATTAATGAAGTTAGAGAGCTGCGCGTAGTTTCGTAATACCGTAACAACTATCGAGTCGGAATTACAGTTGAGGAACTGTAAGGTGAGTCGTCGTTTCGGAAGGAGAATCCTGTCGTCTCTCTTTGGCTCCGCAACCATCCGATCACGTACCAAGCTTGATTTGATTTTGATTCGACGTACACTAGAAACGCATTTAATACACGTGCTTGCGTGTCGAGTTGCGCGTGCATCGACTAAGAATGAACGTTTTCCGTTGCCCGATATGGCGATAAGACTATATTCCTATTGTCGCACAGCCATGTCATTATACAGCGAGCAAAATAGAACTAGTTTAATATTTCTGAACATGTACAAAAGCAGGTTCTAATTGTCTCACGCTTGTATATTTTTTTATTATTATTTAATAAAATAATATTCTTCTATAAAATTAAAGAAAGATACTCTTTAAATGCATCAGTAAATGCTCTACATCAATTATTCAAGTCCACTATCTCGTGAAGGTAATGTATCTTTTCGTACATACTGTAGACAAATTTTTAATTAATACTGCATTCTCGTCAGCAATATGGTACGTGACGATAAACGGTTTCCTCCATGTATATGTACGGTCGGAGTTAATGTTCATCTAGGCTTTCGAACATGGTGTGGACGAGCTTAATCTACATAATTTCAATCCCCAGCGCAGCACACGGGTCTGTATACTCGGAGTTATGCGTTTGCGCATCGTAAACATGAGTCCAAGTGATTCCGCTAATATCCAAAATTGTTTGCCGAATCGAAATAGTTTGATCTGAGACTTCCGGAATTTTTGCTCCTTTGGCAATTGTAATCAATTCGTATTGGAATTGATCGCTGTTTCTATCTAAGATTCTGCTATTGTGTATACTTGCACATATCCCGATATCTCGTAATACTAACTGAGCTCTCAGATGGAAAATTCAATCATGTTAATCCGTGTTTATTTCTGATTGAATTCATGGAAACGTGCTCTATTCGCAACAATTGTCCCTAGTGTACTATACCAGTATTAGAGTATATATTACTTGCGTAATTTCTCGCATTAAATATTTTATTTTATAAATAATTTCAAGTATTTGTTGATTTTTCAAAGTATTATATGATATGATAAAAAAATGAATTTTATATGTGAATTAGCACGATTATTGCTAATCATATAATAATTTCTTCTCTTTAATACAATATAGTAATAATCATTTAATCATACTAACTATTAACTATCAAGTGTTATAACTATCAAGAATTAACTATCAACTGTTTACGATCATAATTAATTTGTTTAAGATTTATATACTTTCAATGTTACATCATATTTATATATAAAAATATTTTAGAGAAATATTATACTCTTTATTGTACTCTTCTGAAATTTTTTACTTTTTATAAAAAAACTGAAAAAAGAAATTGAGATAAAATATATTTTCTACAAGGTTTATTGTAATTATTATTATATTGTTTTTATGCACGATTATTTTGATTATTAAGAGCTAATGACAAAAAAAATATAAATAATGATAAATAATATGTACTTTTAAAATAATTTAAAACGAATATAGGAACTTTATTTAGATTGGAGACTTTATTTTTTATATTGATATTTCTCTCTCTCTCTCTCTCTCTCTCTCTCTTTCTCTCTCTCTAACATTTTTTATTATAATAAATTAAATTACTTTGCTAGTTTAATTTTAGCGACAATTTTAAAAGTATAAATACGATTATATTTATTCTCTACATATAAATACAATCCAAAATCAAGGCTATCAAGCAATGAGCCTTGATCTTTTAAAAATAATATTGCATTATTCGCGAGTAATAACATATAGCACGAAATAGTTAATATTATTTTTAACTGCATGTCTTGATGATTATCAAGTATTCTGTAACTATTATCAAATTTTAATAATTAATAATGAAATTTAATAGACAAATTCAGCAATCTATAAACTGATAAATATAAATAAAAATTAGTTATATATTAATAAACTAGATATTATATAAAAAACTGATATTATGTAAATAAAAAAGTATTATATAAGTAAAAGACTTTCAAATATATTTAATGTAAATATGGCAATTTAAGAATACGTACATAATACGTATTCTTAAATTGCCATATTTCTAGATAAATAATAAATAATACTAATCGGAAAAAAGAATTAAATTCAAATAGTATTTGAAGCTTTAGTAAACTAGTAAAATTTAATTCTTTTTTTCGATTAGTATTGTTTAGTAATAAATGCATGAAAAATAAACTTAACGAAATTTTACTTTTTCGTAATTTTACAAATAACTGTACAAATAATTTTACAAAATTATTTACTTCATATTAATATTTATAATTGTGATTGTAGTTATCAATATCTATGGAAAGTACTGATTCAATTTATTTACGTTTTAGACATTTATAACTAAATGAAAAGAGAGAAAAGTTTCATTATATCACAGACAGACAAAAACTATCTTTACAATTTTCTTATCGATTTACATACATACACTTGCACTAAATATAGCTATACTAAAATATTTATATCATATTTAAAATATTGATAATGTATACACTTTGATATCTTGATATTTATTATTTTTATTATGTTTGCATATTCTGATAACATTCAAAAATATATTACGTTATAATAATATTAAAAATTAAAAAGGCAAGAATGTAGTATATATATATATATATATATATATATATATATATATATATATATACTACATTCTTGCCTTTTTAATTTTTAACAAAACATTTATTTTATTCTTTTAAGCTGTACAATAAAACATTATATATATATATATATATATATATATATATATATATAATGTTTTATTGTACAGCTTAAAAGAATAAAATAAATGTTTTGTTTTAAAAAAGACAAGATGAAATAAATATAAAACGTATTCTTTATATTACAAACATTAGACAATAATAAGAATGTTTCTACAATAACAAGAATGTCAAAGAGAGAAATAAGATAACAATTACATACGCGAAATTATATAATAAACATATATCATAATTAATAATACTTTTACATTATAGAGAGAGGAAGGAGGGGAGAGAGGAAGGAGGGGAGAGAGGAAGGAGGGGAGAGAGGAAGGGGGGGGAGAGAGGAAGGAGGGAGAGAGAGAATAGGGAGAGGAAGGGAGAAAGAGAGAGAGAGAATAAACTGTCAAGTATTATGTTATTTTTTGGAAATTTCAGCCATACATAAAATTTTAATTATCCAATATAATTATTCTTGTAATCATTATATTTTTGTAATCATTATATTAATTATTGCAATTTTTTTTATTAAATAATAATCTCATATTTTTCTTCAAGGTCGAGTATATATCTAACTGGTTACGTTTACATTCGATGCTTGTAAAGATTATGCAAGTTAATGCAAATTATCACATACCGAAGAAATCTACATAACATGTTTGCTTTGTTGGCGAGGTTCAGTCTGACCGCGTCTCTTCAGCAGAAACTATGTTTTAAATAATTGTTAATATTGTATAACAATTATTTTATGTGATAAAATTAATTTAAAAGTTTTTTGAAACAATCTCATTTTTTTCAAACTAATTTTATTGTGATTATTATTGTGGAGGTTAGAAGACATTATAACATATCTTCAATATCAATATGTAAGTAATACATAATCTGGTTTGATCAAATATTACTTTATAGGACTTAGACAATACGATTTATATTTTTTATAGTTAAATAATTTTATGTGCAAATAAAAAAAATAGTTACTATCAATACTTATGTACATACATATGTATGAATATTTTAGAAGGCTGTAGAAAATATAGATATATGTAATTAATTATGCTAATCGATATACTAAATATATGAATATATCTATATTCTTCTTTTCCTTATTGTTCATAGAATGAGGTTGATTACCGCTACCTCGTCGATTATTATGATCCTATGGATTTTGACTATGAGCAATTTAACATGCAGTAAGAGATTATTGATCATTACTCCAGCCCCATCTTATAGTCATCAGATAGTATTTCGGGCACTGTGTCTCGCTTTGAATAAACGGGGTCACGAGATAGTAACATTGACCCCAAACATTTTAAACGATTCTAGCCTAATCAACTATAAGGAAATAGACTTCGGTTTTGTATATGAAAAAATCGATGATACTGATTTGAGTCAGACTCGTTGGAATCTCACGCAATTGGGAGGATTAAAAACAAGATTATTGAAATTGGGCCATGATATCGCGGAAGATGTTCTTAGTCATCCTGATTTATTGAAATATTATGCGAATGAAACGAATGTACAATTTGATGCGGTGATAGCTGAAATGATTATGACTCCTGCAATTTATATGCTGGCGCACAGATTTCATGTTCCTTTAATAGGTAAGATAAAATTAATGGATAAAATTCATTATTACTTAATTATTTTGAATTATATAGGATGTATGTGTAATAGATGCAGATAATGAATCGCTTAATGAGTTTTATAATCGCAGGTATTATGTCTATGGATTTGCAAAACTGCCACCGTTTCAATTTCGGCAGTCCTGTGCTACCATCGCATCCATCTAATTGGGAGCTCGAAAATGATACAGGCTTGAATATTCCATTTTGGAAACGGTTAAAAAATTTTATAAAAACTTGGTGGCTCATACAGTCTTGGTTTAATACATTTGCATTCAAGCAACAACAAATTGCCGAAAAGTATTTCGGCAAAGATATACCGAATATCATCGACGTTGCAAAGAACATGAGTCTTATTTTAATTAATCAAGAACCAGTGCTAGCATATGCGAGACCCGAGATACCTAATATTGTATATTTCAGTGGATTACACATCAAAAAGACACCGCCGTTGTTACCGAAAGTACATATATTTTTTTAACAATCAGTATCAAACTTTTTTACTTATTATCGATCATTCTCACATATTTTATCTAAAGAAATTATGATATTTTATCTGAGCAAATATCTGATGAATATATTCTTTTATAAAATTTCCCTTCTGTAGAATTTAAAAGACTTCTTGGATGGCGCAGTAAATGGCTTCATTTATATGAGTCTGGGAACAAACGTGAAAAGTAAATTATTGCCGAAGGGAATGCTGGAGGTGTTTACCAATGCCTTTGCCAACTTACCTTACAAAGTACTATGGAAATTCGAAAGCGACGATTTTCATGTACCTTCTAATGTTTTTATTTCAAAATGGATCCCGCAACAGGGTGTACTCGGTAAATTAAAATGGACAAGCCAGAGTTATAGTAATTAATATTGAGATTATTTAATCCTTTTTTTCCTTCTTATTTTCGTAGCTCATCCGAACATCAAGCTCTTCATTTATCAAGGCGGATTGCAGAGTACCGAAGAAGCGGTTCATTATGCCGTCCCGCTCATAGGAATACCATTTGTCTTCGATCAGGTGTATCAAGTTATGAAAATGGTTTCTCTGGGAGTAGCAAAACACCTGGATATAGTCCAGCTTACGACGCCGGAACTGCGAGACACTATACTGGAAATCGCCGGTGATAAGCGGTAATTGCAATGTCAATTATTTATGCATGTGTGTCTAATAATAACATCTTACGAATAGAAAATAATAATAATATAAATATTTATATATATATTAATTATCGTACATTTAATACTTTGTTTGTAGATACAAAAATAAAATGTTGGAGTTACGTGCTCTCACAAAAGACAAGCCTTACGAAAGCTTAGAGAATGCTATATGGTGGATTGAGTTTGTAATGCGTCACAATGGTGCACCTCATTTACGTTTCAATGGAGTCGATACCGCGTGGTATCAACAATTCGATTTAGATATCATTGTATTCCTGTCGATAATATTATTCTTAGTTTTATGTGCTCTCTTAGCTATTGTAGGAAGGGGTTTAAAGTTTTTCTATAAATATTATGATATAAACAATCGATTACATAATCTATTTAAATCATGCTTAGAGCTTAAAATGTTTACGACAAAAAAAATTAAATCTACATAATCAAATTTTGTGAATTAAGAAATTAATTAAAGAATGTGTAAATCGTTATTATATCGAAATTTTCCGACATTCTTTTTGTTTGAACTATGACAAGCGTTAAGCGATTTAAGAAACATGACTATGCTTTTATAAAAAATAAATAAAATACCGAAAATATGTAAAATAATTGCGAAAATAGACCTCTTTTATCTCTCGAGCACTTGTGCACTTGTGGATTTTACATTGCTCATTTATACGAAAAATAGGGAAGAGAGGAAACCAAGGAAAAAGCGAGAGAGAGCAAATTTTGGCACAGGGGCGAATACTGTCAGTATAAAACTGGTAGTTGAGCGAAATGGGTTTTGTGAACGTACGAAATTGCATCCCAAGATCCATTATGTTCATTTGTGCGTATTCATGGAATTATGAGACAGAAAGCAAAAAGAGAGGAGGCTGGAAAAAATAAGAGGAAAGAAAAAAAGAGGAAGTGAGAATATTACGAGGGATTATATAATGTATAATGTGCACGATCTTACTTTCAAATTTATATATAAGTATGCATGTGCGCTGAAGATAGACAATATAAAAAAAATTTCAAATATGTAACTATGCTAATTGAACAACAGAATTACAAAATCATAGGTATAAAATAACTTTGTATAATAATTCGAAAAATATTGCTAATTAGTAGAAATGCAGATAATAATATTCTCTCGAATAATATATAAATATATGATATATAAATATATAAATATATCATGAACAATCATCCTATATTTAATCCTATATTTTCTAAATACGCTTATGATTTCGTAGAAATTCAAAATTCAATTGGTTTCGGAAATGACATTAAGTGTCACATGTTATTGTTAACATGACCGATGTGTTTCGAATATCAGGTTAATGAGGCTCCCTTTGCCGCCGGTTCGCACGTCCATTTGGCAGATGGACCTAATTCAGAGTGCAAGGATCCATTAACACGTATATTCGACCCAAGGAATGTATAGCGCGATAATGTATACGATGCTAACATCGCGCACGTACACAGGGCCAAATGCCGCCGACCGAGCACACGTATTCTATGAACATTGCAGCAACAATTAGGAGACCCCTTTGCCATCGGGCGGAATACATATCTACGGCCATTTCAAGTGCCTGTGTGAAACCTATGCGAATCGCGAATACGTATACTCGTACACACAGTACAGATAACTATGGCATTCATCGCCCGTTGTAACATAGTCGCGCATACGCTATACTATCTCTGTCTCAGAAGCGAAACATTGACTAATCAGGCTACTGATTAGAAGTTTGATACGAGTATTGTAGGAAACATTTCTGATTTATTTATTTTGAATCTCTGAAAAATTAATTAATAATTATTTCTGATATTTTTCGCATCTTTTTGTTTATGACCTGTTTCTTTGAAGATGAGGATAATACATTAAGTCAATGGTTTCATCTTTAATGTCAATTTCCTGATAATTGATAATAGCAATAAATTCAGAATTAAAATAATAAATTAGCATTTGATTACACCATACATCAGAATTTAATTTCTTGTTGCGAGGATCAGATTAAGGTGGAGATGCGATATACCGTGGCATATATATTAGCGTGTTTAAGCTTTTACTACTTTCAGCATTGCAGCACTGATCGATGCGCATTCTTTCCTTGGCAATGAATGTATCGGATCGCATTATTCAGGCGTGCCGACTTTTATTTAAAACACAACAAATTCGGACGGTAGAGCGAAACGATAAAGAACGTGGTGCATCACAGGAACGACTAAAAATACAAATAGGTATGAGGGCGATAGGGCCTCCCGCGCAATTGCGTCGTTTCGACGTTACTTTAGCAGCTTGTCGCTACCGAAAGCGGATCACTCTCGCATTCAAGAGACACGTTATCACGTTTCGCCGCATCAACGGAATTTGGAGTATTTTCAATTTCCTATGGCAAATACACATACATGCACACAATGAGAGAACATTGATACGAATGCATGCGATATTCCCGTAGACGCAGCCGCCAATAAAAGACAATCATGCGAAATGTTGCACGCTATTTCCGGCAAAATCGGATATCTTGTACACATGACACAAACGAGAAAACACATCGACGGTATCATGCCATTAGGTGAAACGTTTGTCCAATTACGGACAATCTCTGAATTTGAATAACATACTCTTACTATCATCATTCTTTTGTTTGGCTGTACTTCCTGCCACAGTTGCAATCTGCAATTTAGAACAATTTATGTTATATGTTATGTTTATGTTATCGAATAAATAACGATGATTAGCAAATTACGATACTTAATTAAAATGTCAAATTTAATAAGATCTTAATTTCAAAACAATTTTCTGATAATTTCACAATCAGTGAAATCGTATCGCGTAAAAAATTAGAAATGGTCTTAACATCTTGAGTATGATACATTGATATAATTATAAAGGCATAAGTTGGTTGTCTATTTATGTAACGCGGAAGTTCTCTGAGAATAATTCTTCAGTTACAATAATAATCGAAAAAATTAAATTCTACTGGCCATGCAATTGTTTCGCGAACTTTTATTAACAATAAAGCAACGTTTCAACACTCGTGGTAATATTTCTCCCTTCCCGATTCCCTCGTTAGATCGATTCGATCAGGCGATGAGTCCATCGACGATGAATCGAAATAATCAAGTATAGATGGATTTGCATACAACGCGAGAGAGGCTACATCTCTGTAAGTTGCAGTGAAAGGATTCCTGATTGCGCACCCCATCCTCCCACCCGACGAAGGGACACGTCCCTCTTTGATCGAATGCTGCTTCTGTTCTCTTTATCGAGATCGCATTAGCCGAACGAGGAAGAAGGAAAAAGAATTCCAATATCGCGCAAAAATTTGTCTCTGGGCAACCAATAGTCCGCTCGAAACGTTAAGCCGGATTTTTATTTCTCGTTCCGTGCTACAAACTCGCCGGGCGCGAAACAGTAATAAGTCAAACTAAAACGAGGTATATCCGCTCTTCAGTCTGAAAGCCGGATTTGACTTCAGTTTTGAGGTTTAAATTAACGAATAAGTTTTTTCCAGTATTAGAGTGTTAATCGTCTAAAAATCTACAATGTTAATCGCTATTACAATACTTAAAAATATATATACAATTAGTCGCATTTTGATGTACGTGTGTATGCGTATAAATTGTAAATAAATATTCGAACTGTGCATACATTTTTTAGACATGAGATACAGAATTAAGAAATTTCTGAAGATATAAAAGATAGAAGATTAAATAAGTTAAAAAAAGATTATAAATATTGCTAAATATGCATCCCCGTTTACTCTTTGTACAGAATATTCGCAAAGCATTTTATAAAAACTTCTCTTTATAGCGGCTAACAAGATTTTTCTCGCCCACCAGACTAGCGGCCGTTATCTTCGAGATTTATTTTAATTTGTTCTCGGAATAGGAAGTTTCTGCAGTCGCGGCACGAAGTTCGGTATAATTACAGATAGTTACAGACAAGGCCGCCTGTCACAAGCCGTGTGCGTATACGAGATATTACGCACCTTCAATCTGTAAATAACGAAAGAAAATAAAGGAGAGAGTGAAAAAGCGACGAGAAGTTGTTGCATTTAGGAGTCATTTCATTTCTACAATTTTCTTACGATGAAAAAATAATATAACCTAAAGAAGATTGAAAGAAAGAAGGAAAGGCGGTGTTAAATGAAGAAAAAAATGTCTGTAAAACGTTCACTAGGAAAAAATTGGAAATAATAGAGAAATGTAATAGAGTTTCTTACTAATACATTCAAATATTAAGATAGACGTATAGATAACTTTTGACAAAAATACATCGATTCTGAGAAAAAAGAAGAGCTTCTTTTGCGACCAAGAATTTCTCCGGACGCGACTTGTTCGTAAATATTTACCTTGGCATTAGTGCGGCGAAGGTAAATTCTGGTCGTAATTACATCTGCATGATAAAGACTTGCGTTCGTCTAACATGTAGATTTAAAAAATCAAGGAAGTCTCTTTAATTTTAAAGCGACCTTCAAAGTTGTTGACTAAAGATTATACCACATTTAAATGGATACATATACAATGCATATACTATCCCGATTAATGAAAAACCGAGTTGCTTAGGTTACTGATTTATATAATAAAGTTTTTCTTTTAAATTCATTTTATTTATATATAGCAAATTTATTTATATATAACAAAAAACATTTATATTTTATTTTCCTCTTAATTGTCAATCTTTGGCATATTTGTATCGCGATATAGAATTTATATACAGAATAACTAAGCTTTCCATTAATTGCTATTTCTCGATTGTGTTATTTCTTTTTTTGTTAGATCAATTGCGAGATATATTTTTTAATTAGATACGCATCAAATATTTAGTCGGAAGGGAATGCTTGAATGTAAATAAAAGCGGGAGAGAGATAGCTGGATTAAAATTGAACGAAGCATCAAGATTTTTATTTAGAGCAGCTTACGAAATTAAATGCTCGTGCTTTTTATTTGAGATATCTCCCATTTCTCCTTTTACGCTCAGTGATTTCGTAAATGAATTTTTGCGTCAAGAATACCAATTACGTACCGGGCTAACTACATTTCCAGAACGCTCCGGTTGGAAACAGTCCAATGCCGCTTGGCGAGGTCTGCCAAGTGCGTTAAAATCTATCGATCCACAAATTGCCGCGCGAATCCATTTAATCTTCGCCGTTGTAGATGGAATGAAATAAAATAGACTAATAAGAAAGCGCTTTGCGGACCATATTAGTACGGAAACTCGCAGATAATGTAGCTGTACTAATAAATCACAAATCTCTTCTTCATGGTAAAGAACTATGTTATGTAATTCGCTTCTCGGAATTTTCAGCAATTAATTGTGGAAAAAATGTACCTATTTAACTTCAAACACGGTACATGTCTCTTACAATTAGCAGGCTCTTGTGTCATTTGTATTATCTTTTATTAAACTAATATCATTTTAAAACTAGTAAAGTCAACGTAGAAATTTTTTCAATTTCATCTAAAGCACGTTAATCTGAAACACCCTCGACAACGCATCGTGAACGTTTGATTTTCATTAATCGCCAAGTGCAACGCAAACAAAACACAGATCACGTAGCGAGATGTTGCTTCCGCATCGCGAATTGCATTATCGTCGCGGTGTACGATGCAGCATCGATGACAAATACAATAAACGCCGAACCGTGTTGATGATAATGGCAGTATCATCCCGCGTATTACTACGGCGAATCGAAGTGAACGAGCATTATTCCCGAATGCGCCAGAAATTACGTTGCATCTTGTGCACGATCACGCCGTGATCGTCGTACGATACGTCGCGGTTTTGAAAAAACCGACCGGCTATTATCACGTGGCACCGAGGCGCGGTGAAGTATCATACAAAATTGCATACGGGTACGGATGCGGGTAATAAATGAGATTTCAGTTGGCTGAATGCGAATAAATGAAGCGCGTCACGATAATGATGGACCGGCACGAGGAGGAGGAAAAAATCGCCCTGAAAATTGACGGCGTTGCCGGTCGAGCACATTGATTCACGCGCCGCGGTCGTTTTCAGCTTTCCCACGGTATGGGTGAAACGAACTTTCCAATTCAATTTCCAGATGGGTCGCACAAAGACTTATTTATGAAACGTTCGTCAAGAGTGAAAGCGGGAT